GAAAAAGACGTCCCAACTCCTCCTCTTTCGATTGACGAAAACCGCAGATCGCTAGCTATTGCGGTTGTCGAGTTATTGAGCTTACACCCACCCCTATTTAATTCTGGCGCCGACAATAATTTTGGTTACAATTTGTTGAAGTCAAATATCCTTTACCTCTTTAGCTAAATATTCAATGAGGGATATATATCCCGTTCTATGAAATACATGTTCTTCACTGTAATGAATAGAAATAACATAAAAGAAAACCCTTTGCGACAATGGCATCTAGTTCGGCTCCCTCATAACTTTCGATGGTAAAATGCAAATAACTATAAAAGGCTTCTTTCTGATGTTCAGTAAAGTTTTTTAGATTTACAAATGTATCAGCATAATATTGTAGTGTTGCATTGACTTCTGGTAGTCTGATTCTTTCACGAACATGGAACAAATACTCGCCGTACCAAGTTTGAATATCGAGATTGGTATAGTTTGTTGGGTAAAAGATGCGTAAATTATTTTGTAATGCACCTCGTGTATCAATCTTAGCCTGTTGCACTAGATCCCACAATGGGTTAGTCAGCAGTCCACCAGGAATTGATCCGTTGATACCATGAATCCATGCAGCTCCTAGATCGAAAACATGATCATTCTGTAAGTTGGCAGACTAAATTCGACCACCGATACGATTGCGACCTTCTAAAACAATAGTTCCAATGCTGTTTTGCTGCAAAAGACGAGCAGCTTCTAAAACAGATAAGCCTGCGCCAATAATTAAAACATCAGTTGTAAGAATATTCGATAAACCAGATCTTGCTTGTGTTTTTGATAAACGATGAGTCTAAAAATCACAACATATTGTATTCTTCTTAGGTAAAAAGGTAACCGTCTCATACTTGTTGTAAGTTTTACTTACGTTAGGGTAATTCTCTTGAAAATGGTCCAGTACAATAGTACATACAGCTAACAACACTAATATTTTCATGATTTTTGTTCAAATAAAAACATCTACTTGATTTAGTATAAAATAAAGGATACGCGAATATTTATAGATGGCTGATATAACAACAGATTTTCATATAATAGAACGATAAAACAATTATGAATGAGTCAGCTTTCTATTGAAAATATGAGTGTTATTCATGGGCGGAAGTATTATATTTTCGATGAAAAATAAGATGTAGGTTGGTATCTGCCAGTGTTGGGTTATCAACAAAACTCAAATATTTTGTAGGTAATATCAGATGACAATGTGAAAGCAGTTGGCATAAAGGTGAAAACAAGTGAGCAACGAAGTATTGTTATTATGGATTTGAGATCAGTTAT